ACGTCGATTATTCTCGTAAGCACAGGTTCCGTTCAAGAGTGGCATGATTACGAGAACTTGGACAATTTGGAATATTAATCTGCTTATGAGTGTAAGCATTTCTTTTTTCTGTTTCTTTTTTGTTGTAATAGAAAAGATAAATTGAATAGAAGTATTCAAGAACAGTGTGATCGCAAAAAAAACAAGCCTGGAGAAAGTGAAGAAAAAAATGTGATTATTACAACATCATTCATTCCGAAAATCTTTTGTAGCACATACTCTATACTATATATACTGGTGACCATCAAATGGCTTCATGGTATCGAAAGAAAGATCCAGCCCCTTATGAAACGGCTGAGTTAATTATAAGCGGTATTATTCCTATTTTTCTTATTGTAATTGGTACTGTCGGCAATCTTATATCTATTATTGTTTTACTCAATAAACAAAATCGCCGAACATCGACTAATATCTACTTGATATTTTTATGTCTTGTGGATACAATTTCACTTTATCAATGGAATTTAAGTAATGCTGTATATACATTTACAGATGGTCAAAAACAGATATGGAATCGATCCTTGTTTATCTGCAAATTAAGTCAATTTTTTCCTTTCTATACTTTACATACATCAGCCATGTTTCTTACTTTTGTCGAACTTGATCGAGCTTGTTTATTAAGAAGTCGATGGTATAAAATCAAAATAGCTCGACCACGTGTTGCCTTCATAATTTGTGTTATTATTCTACTAATTTTATTTATAGTAAATGGATTTTTATTTGCATTAGGTTTTGAATATTCGACATATGATAATAGTACAGGAATAATACAAACAAGCGTAGCATGTTATTATTCATTGAACATTGAACTCAATAATTTCTTTGCTGTTGAATATGCTTGGGTAAGTATTAAAGAAAATATATAATTTAAACTGATATTCATATTCATGTAAAGATTCACCTCGTGATCATGTATTTTCTACCGTTTACTGTCATAATCGCATGTACATTTCTTACAATAAAAAAGCTGATTTTTAAATCAATATTTACAAATGATCAATTAGCAATTAATGCTCACCGTAATCGTCGCATTTCCATAATGTTATTACTAATGTGTTTGACTTATACTGTTTGTACTGTACCTAATCGTTTATGTTTTTCTGTTTTGGCGAATCAGATTATTGGATATGACTATACGGACACAGTATTTCTTGCTACAAATACATTAATGTATACAAGAAATGCGATGAATTCATTTTTCCTATACATATCTGTCCATGGCTTTCAACAATATATACGCAGAGTCGTATCAGAATGTTTTGATAAACGACCAAATCAAGTTGATCAAAGAAATCATACAATGACAAGAGATTATGTGGCCACAATAACGACCGTTTAAAAAAAACTCCCAATGAGAATCAATAGTTTCCTCGTATAGAACAATAAAAAAACTAAACAAATTCTCTATTAGTAGCTCTTATTGTCATATTAAAACTTTAGTTCTGTATTGTAATTGTAAAATTGTTGTTTCCTTATAAAATAAAGCAGATTCATGTGTCTTAATTTGTCTAAAATTTTCTGTATAAAAGACGATAAACGCAAGACAAGATCGATTGAGTTAAAATATAATCAGAGTAATATGTATTTACTCTCCATGATTCTGTAATGTTTGGAAGTTAGAGTTAATCACTGTTGGTTATAAAATGTAAATCAATATGCAAAGTGAACAGCAAATGATTTGATTTAATTTATCTTCAACTTTAAATATTTTAAATAATATAAGTGTGGACTATCTTTGTATATACTAAAAAATTGTTTTACATTACTTATAAATGAGGTAATTCCTCTCTCCTCTGTAGTTGGAGACTTACCGTGAAATACGAAATGAAATACACTGCAAATGATCCTTGTTGTAAAATGTATGTTTTTTATCTGGAACTTTCGGATGTCTACATAGTCGCTATGAATATCTGGGTTCTTTTCATGTAATTTTAAAGGTTGGATTACAATAAATTTCTTATGTGTATCCTTTATTTTCAGAACAAATCACATTGCTGAATAGATAAAATAAAGTTGTATATTTCGATTTAGCAGGCTGATTTCAAATGAGATCTTTTATATCAAGATTTGTTGTGATGAGATTTTAAGTGCTGAATTTTATGTTAAAACAAACGTCGAAATGTAATATCACATATCTTTATATGATAAATTCCTGTAATATTCGATAACAAGAAAATTTAGAAATTCCTCCAGATGAAAATGTGTACTTAAGTCTAGATTATTGTATACCAATATAAAGCCGTATTTGAAAAATTTGATACGGTTATTGTTTTTTTTTATATAAGATTAAACCTTGTATTATACGTGATACACGAAGGTCTCTGATATAAACGAAATCTATTTGCTACAACTAATGTAACACATAAAAGTGGGGATAGAGTTAGCTTCCAAGCTTATCCCATTTTTGAAATTTCTTGACACAAAGAATCACATTTGAAATTAGTCCTTTTTATCAAAATAAAGCTAAAGAATAAATATAAATATTTGAAATATATTCTAACACATGCACCAAATCAAATTTGTTTTAAATAAGAATGAATACACTAAATGAATGATATACCTATTGTTTAAATAATAATAAAAAGACCTATAGTTTTAGAATCAAAATAGCGACAATTATAAGATTAGTACGACCATCCCTATATTTTTCATTAACATCAATGTTAAAAATTAAATTTTTATCTTCCCTAATTATGTCTCTTTAAATCATTGTAGGCTCATAAGTATAACATGCAGTTTTAAAAAGCTAAAAAGAGTGGATGTGGGTTTCACTCTTCACCTATACACATATCCACTACCGTCACAAGTACACTTTATCATAAAAACGTACAATCAAACAGAAGTTCATTCGTTCTTCACGAGCGAACATGTTTTGTAAGCGTGCGATCGTATTGTGGTCTCCATTGTAAAGACATAGCGAAAAACATTAGCTGCTGGAACAGTCTTCTAGCATATATTGCACGATTGATTCGAGTTGATGACTTACAGGAATCACGAGTCAGTCCATTCGAGAATGAAGACCCGACAAGCACTTTAATTTCATCAAGCGTGCAGTGATTTAAAATAGTCACTTTCGTAATATTGCTGCCGAGCACTAAACAAGTCGTTTGCATTTGTTTGCTCGACAGTGACTTGATGTTCTGTACTATGCTTCTCGCACTTGTTGATGAATTAGCTTTATAGTCCTTTAGTAGGTTTCTGATTAGATTTTTCATATTGAGATCTCTATATTGAACGTAAAGTTGAGTTCGTTGTCTCAAAGGAATCATATGACTGAGATTGACAGTAAACCATTGATGTGGTTGAAGATTATAGTCCGAAACAATGATCTCAATAGCGTCAGAAGATGGAGTCAGGTGACCATTAATATTCTAAGAAATGAAAGTATCAAGTCGATGGTGTAAATTAAGATCCGTTGTTCCACTAGAGTCGCTCTTTACATGTTCCCCGTCATAAAACGTGTAGTACTTCCTTCTACAATGAAAAAGAAAGTCATTTCAGAATTCACTAACTTATTGACTGCTACCAATTGGAATGAGGAATAGAATAGAAAAAGACATCCCAGAAATTATTCGGGTGATATTGATGCATAAAGAACCACTGTCGTTTGAGCCAAAACACAAAGCTGAGCTAATCCAACAATACATCACAGTGACTATGGTGATTGGATTCCTGTTGTATTGATGTTCGATGTTGAATATCAAAGGTGCGTAAGTTAGGCATGTAGTTTGAAATCAAGTGTTGTCAATGATTAGCCTTCAAGTAATTATTATCATCTTGTGTTGTGATGCGTAATAGTTTTATTTGCAAACAAAGGTGACGAATAATATGTTGGAATTGTTGAAAAGAAATATTCAACAATTCAAAGGAGACATGTGTCAGATTGTACGGTACAATGAGTACTTCTGTTAGTATACGTCGGTCTTCATAAAGACGACATGATAATCGACATAGGGCAGGCGTGTAAGAAAGAATTGCGCCAAGATCATTAAGGTAGCAATGACCATTGATACTAAGATCTTCAATATTGCTGTACACATTTTTAGCAATGGCTAATGGAGGACGTTTCATACTAAGTTTGAATGGCAATGTACAATATTTCAACTTGGACAAATGAAATATGAGATGGTAAACATCATCGCGAAATCTCAAATAGTCAGCTATTATCATAGACAACTAGACGAGGCAGGGTAGCGAAGCTAAATCGGCGAGGAGCGACGTCAGACTTTTTGAATTAATTCCGTCAAATATGATTGCTTTGAGTCGACAAAACGATGAATTGATCGTGAATGTTGAAAGGAACAAATCGATTAGTAAAGGGTTCGATAAACGAAGTGACAAAATTTTGTACAAGTTAGGTTCCACAATAAATATTAACACGTGTTCCATATGGCAGTCTTCATCTAATAGTTAGTAAATACAGAACAGAAATAAAACGTAAAAGGTAACTGACAATAGTGTTTTGATGAAAAGAACACATTACTATTTCGAATCGACGAAACGCGTGTATGAAAGACAAATAAACAAGAGCATATGATATTACAACATTCCATGCAGAATACGTGTTGTTTCGAAAGGATTCGCATGCCTACAAAACAGATTCTTTGCTTAGACGAGCAACGATTTGAAAGAAATGAGGATGAGAAAGAAATTGAATGTTTAACCGGTGATTTAATCTTATTTTAATTATCTGTATAGTTGAAATGTTTATCCATGTGAGAAAGTGTCAATTTTTCTCTTTTAAATAGACGATGATATTTTTTAACGATTTTACTAAGCGTTTTACTCATGAATAAAAACTTGGAATATTCTCTTTATCCACATGCTGAGTAAAAGGTTTGCTATATCAATTTTGTTTAGCTCTTTAATCACTGATTTATCATAAATTTATTAAATATATATCTTAGAATGTTCAAAGATTAACATATTCAAGTTGAAAATATCAAAAATAAGAATTGATTTTAATTAATTAAAATTAAAATAATGCAAATGATTATTTTAAAAAAAATTATATTCCATTGATATTTGAAAGAACCATTTGTACTTGGTGTTGTTAATGGTCGAATAGGAAATGATGTCTCATTAAAAAATTTGTTTATCCAATCAACATAAGCCGAAAGTTTTGTATATACTTTTGGATATCCACTTACAGAACATCCGTCTCCATAAGAAACAATACCAACCTAAAGAAAAAACAGGCTCAATATCAAATTCTTGTTTTTTTTGATTATTCTTGAAGATATTTACTTGTTCCCAATGAGTATTTCTATAAACGAAAATTGGTCCACCTGAATCACCTTGACATGGAACTTAAATCATAAATCATAGAAAGAAAACAACGTATTTGAATATTTATAATTAAAATGATAATTACTTTTGCCATTTTGAATTAATCCTGCACAAAATTGATATGCATTATTTTGAATTAATTTTGAACATGATACATTTTGATTATCAACTAATTTAACTGGAATTTGTTGAAGTATATTTGACATATCATTATTTAATATTGATGATTTCCAACCAACGACAATTAATTTTGAATCTTTTGATAGATATTCATTTGTTATTATATGTCGATTGGGTAGACATGCTCTACTAAATATAGGTTGACTGTTAAGTTCAAATGGTTGATCAACTTGAATAATTGCAATATCATGAAAATAATTTTTATTATATGAATAATTTTCATGAATATAAATCTTATGAATTTTTCGTTTTGTTCCAGCCATTGAAGACAGACTATCCATACCAGCAAATATTTCAATATTTCTATAATTATCTATTCGATCAAAACAATGAGCTGCAGTTAAAATTAATAAATCTGATAAAATTGTTCCACTACATATATGTTCATAACCATAGATTCTTATCGACACAATCATTGTCCAACTAAATGGATAAATATTTTCACTAGGAATTATATTCGATACAAATTCATTTTGATTATAATTAGATAATACAACATTACTTAATGAACATCCACATAACTTAGAATTTCGATCACATTCATAAGTAATTTTTTCAATTGATGTTTGTGTACTATTTGTATTGTGCCAAGATGAGAACATTGTTGTTCTTATTGTTGTAGTATTAAATATCGAATGAGTTGGTTCGAGATGTTCACCAGTCTTACTAACAATTATATCCATCCAAGATCGATAATAAGATAAACGAGTATAAATATTTGGAACAGTACTATTTTCACAAGTAAAATCACTAGATATGATACCAATTTGTTGCCAATATTCTCCTGTCCATTGAAATATTGCTCCACCAGAATCTCCTTCAAGAGAAAGGTGATTATAAAATTTTCAAACACAAATGAAATATATAGAGAGAGAGAGAGATTAGTAGAAAAACACTTTCTTGATCTAATTATGTATAGATTATCAATACAATTTTTAAAAGTCGAAGGGTATATATCTCTTCCTTGACTTATCTGTATAGATCTCATTCTGAAGTTTGAATTCGTCTTTCTTAATTTATCTAAAAATAAAAATGATTTTCTTTTGTTTTCTGAACATACCTTGACATGGTCCTATAAAAAGAATAAAAAGATTTATTCAATTAAAAACATTGTATCAAATAAATTCATAACCTTTTCTTTCTTGATAAACTCCTGCACAAAATTGACTTTGAACATTATTAAGTAAATTCGAACACATTGAATGATTATTATCATTTGCAAATATTTCTAATTGTTGTAAAATATCAGGTTCAACATATGGTTCATATTCAATTGTTCCCCATCCAATAATAACCAATCTTGTACCATTTATCGGATATTGATTATTTAATATAGATGAACTTATATGAGGAACACATGTTCGACTTAATAACAGATTTGAATCAATTAAAAATGGATCATAAAGTTCTAATATGGCTATATCATTTATAAATCTATTACCTTGATTTGTAAAGTTTGGATGTATATAAATTCGACGGACATGTCCAATATATCGAGATGCATCAGAACGATTAGTAATTCCTGCAACAATGGTTAGATCGAACGGATCTATTAATGAAAATGATTGAACACAATGAGCAGCAGTTAGAATATATGATTCTGATAGAAGTGTTCCACCACATAAATGTTTATTACTATTTAAAATACGTAGAGAAACAAACATTGTCCAACTTGCTTCGACAGCATTTCCACCACCAATAATACGAGATTGAATTAATTCGACATTCGTATATCCACAACCACAGTTGACTTTTTTCTTACTACAATCATAAATTATTGGAACTTTAGTAGCATTTAATTGTGTTATTGTGGCCATTGTTACATTATCATAATTAAGTATGGATGTCATCCAATCATAATAATAAGCAAGTCGAGTATAGATATTTGTTTGATAATTGACCTCGCATCGATCAGAACTGATAATTCCCACCTTAACAAAACTCAACATGTTTAATGTATGCTTCATAAAAGATGGGATACATTGTGTTGTTTTTTTCGAAAGACGGCAACACAATTCAACAAGCTTATTCTGAAAGTTTTTTGCTCTAGAAAACTGCTGATTTTAGTTTTTAAAGAAACTTCTTTTTGTTAGTGCAAAATTGAAAAGATTACCAATTACTCAATGATCTAACTCTAATCTTCTATGTTTCTTAGCATTTATTGATTTGTAATATAAACGTATGCGAATCAAATCCTATGAGAAAAATAAAATATTAAACATCAATAGATACAGAACTTTACGCACTAGATTGTCACGAATTTTTCTCAGCCTTTCAGATTCGTGAGTACACAGATATGCAGAAAAATACACCAAAGTCTCAGCAAAATTTGTTAAAAGTTTTTTTTTACAGATTTCGAACATCTTGTATCATTGTGTGCTAGCCTAGAGCATGTGGAAATATATGTATGACAAAATGTTCACGCTTATAGAACAAACTGTTTCCAAGAAATCGATATTTTTTTCTGAATGGGTAGTGCTAGCAACCAGATCAAGTAAGATTACCTACAATAAATTGAATCGTTTCTGTTGTACAATGACTTCAATAAGGAACGAAAAGAAATATGTGGAGATCATGAGAAATGTTACTAATCCATGTTCAGCATTCTCAAACAGTATCCTAAAAGACACTCATTTGCCAATTCTTATTTTAATTTGGCGTCGACAAGAAAATCCGCGTTCGGGATGGAGTTAGAACAGACTATTTGAATTGTGTTACTGCTCTTGTAACAAGAAAACTAAAATATGTTCGATTCTTTAATAAGTCATTCATTCACCTAAAGTTTTTTTTTTTAAATAAAAAGTTTCTTCTACCTGATCCCAATATCCATCCATCCATTTAAATATAGGTGCTCCCGAATCGCCTATGAAAAATGCATTAGACATTCTATTTTTTCTACTCTTATAATACATACTTGGACAGGAATCTATATGTAATAAATAAACAAACATAAGAACGAGATCATTAATCATGATAATTTAGAAATACTACATACTGTTTTTATTGTGTTTGAATTCAGCACAGAATTGTTTATTTGAATCTACATTTGATTTTAAACACATGGGGTCTTTGTTATCAATAACAACTATTTCAGCTTGTTGAAGAGTATTCGATAAATAACTTTGATTTTCTTTTGTTATTTTCCATCCAATTATTGCTAATTGTGTCTTATTTGAAGGATATTGTGATATATCCACAAGAGAATTTATTTTAGGTACACATGCTCGAGTATAAAGTCTAGAAATTCCAGTGTTTATTGGTTTAGTTAAATGTAACAGTGCTATATCATTTTCAAAATAGTTTCTTCGCTTTCTAAAATGAGGATGTTGATGAATTCGATCAACTTGATAAGTTCTTGAAGGTACATTTGATAAACGATAAACTCCTGATGCAACTATTATTTTCCATAATGATTGATTTTGTACACAACGAGCAGAGGTAAGAATATATTGGTCAGCAAGAACTGTTCCAGTGCATGAATGTTGATCTGTATCATTGAAACGAATAGAAACAATCATTGTCCAACTAAATGCTCGAGCATCGAAACTATCAACAATTTCCGATGAAATGAACAAAACATCAATTAATCCACAGCCGCATGATATAGTCCTATTACATCGATATCTGATAGAAGGTCTTTCAGTTGTGCTTGTGATTGTGACTAATGATGAAGTTTGGCTGGTAATTATTGTTGATGATGATGTTGGCGTTGATGTTAATGTTGTATAATTATATGGATTAATATTCCATTCAATCCAATCATAATACGAAGCTAATCGTGTAAAAACTGCTGGATAACCACGTCTTGTACATTTATTTGGAAAGTATGATGTTATTCCAACTTGTTCCCATCGATTACCAATCCATTGAAATATTGGTCCACCTGAATCACCTATTAAAAATAAATGAGAATAGAATTATTGATTAATTAAATATATATTCAATAAACATACCGACACATACACCTTTAATTAAAAAAAAAGAATTAAATTTTAACCAAAAGAAAAGAAATGATGTCATATTTACTTTTACGACCAGCATAAACACCTGCACAAAATTGCACGTCATAATCATAGATTACCTGTGCACATGCTGAATCATTGTAATGCATCGAATAAAGATTAACTTGTTGCAACATGTCTGGAAATGTTCCATCATCTAATTGGCCCCATCCAATAGTTGCTAAAACAGTACCATTTAATGGATAATTAGTTATGTATTCTACTGAATTCATTGGTCTTAGTCGACATGTTTGAGTTATAAATGGATTTGTTTGAAAATCAAGTGCTTCTGATAAATGAAGCAGAGCAATATCATTTGAAAATTGTTTTCCTTGTCTCCATAATGGATGTAATATGATACGTTGGATTGATCGAAGCTTATGATTTAACTCTGATTGATTATAAAGTCCAATTGAAACAGTTATATTTGAATATGCAATTAAAGATGTTTGATCTACACAATGAGCTGCTGTAATAATGTACCATTCATTAATTATAGTACCACCACAAATATGTTTTCCATTAATGTCACTATTTGATAATTTTCCTCGTATGGATACAATCATTGACCAACTATTTGGAATAGCGTTTTCACCACCAATGATTCTCGAAGTTGAAATTTGAACAGGACGATAACCACAACCACATGTTACATTGTTTCTATCACAATTATAAGTTACTGGAGGACTTCGAGTTGTTGTTGTATACAATGATTCATTATGAGTTATTATAATAGAATTTATCCAATTGATATAGTACGCTAGACGAGTATAGATACTTGGATAACCTGGAATTCCACATCTAGAATAACTTGCTATGCCTACCTAGATTTAACCAATAGAATAGTTTATTGAAATATTACATGATATCTACGCAAAAGTAGTCATTAAATGAAACACAAGAGTTTAGACAAAACAGTTGCTTTAGAAATTGAGAAAAGACATTTCATGTTATATGTTTACCTGTTCCCATCGGTTATCCATCCATTGTAAGATCGGTCCACCCGTATCGCCTAAAAAATAATTAAATGATTATAATCAATAACAATTCAACATGTATGAAGCATACCATAACATGGATCTATTTAAATAGAATAAAGGAAATTGATGAATAAAAAACAAAAATAATGGCGTCAAACGTACCTCTACCATCTTTTAAGGATCCAACACAGAATTGTTTTTCTGGATCAATCAATGAACGAAGACACATTGGATCATTATTATCAATAGCGAAGATTTCCCCTTGTTGGAGAGCCTGAAATATATCAACACTACCTTGTTTTATTGAATTCCAACCCATTACAGCTAATCGGGTAGTATTTTTTGGATATTGTGATATATTTATTGATGCATTTAGTTTAGGTATACATGTTGGAGTAATAAAGGAGTTATCATTTAAATTCAACGACTCACTTAATTCCAAGAGTGCTATATCATTAGCATATCCATCAGTGTGACCTTTATATTGAGGATGGAGATAGATACGATCTACGTCACGAGTAGTTGCATTTTGATCAAATGAATAATGAATACCAGCCTTAATTGTAATATGCAATGGGATAAGTTTTTCAACACAACGGGCAGCCGTCAGGATGAAATAATCGTTTAGAATCGATCCACTACAAGGAATGTTCTTGACTGGTGAGAGGATATCAAGAAGAACAATCATTGACCAACTATGCTTGATCGCAATCTCTTCCCTAGAATTTGTTGACGAAGTTAATTCGACATTGAAAAGGCCACATCCACATGATGTATTCCTATTATCACATTCATATTGGACTGCACCACAAATTGTCACAATGTATAATAGTAAATAAAGTTCTCTCAACAAATTATTCATCGTTTTCTGTCATTAAAACGAATTCTCAACAACTATTTATCAGAACTCGAAGCTTCATGTTTGGTCTTAGACTTTATTCAAAAAAAAATATTTGTCTAGTTTATATTGATTAAAAGATTATAGCATTGATATTGGAGATTGACACAAATGCACTCAGCAAAATACTAATGGAACATATTTTGAAATTTGATCTCTTTGAAACCATCCTGTCGAGTTTATTAGCTTTTGCATTTACTAATTTATTTTTATCATGAGCTTTACATAATATTCAGGTTCTTTAATATTTTGATAATTATTTGATGCTACGATCAGATGATTTTTTTGCTCGTCGCTTCAAAACATCTTTTATAAAAGATCAAACGACTAGAAATAAGATATTGTATCAAACAGAGAACATAAAAATAAAGTCAAAATAAAGAGATTCGATTTCACCAAATCGGATTATTAACTGAAAATTACATTAACTCGAAACAGATGAGTTGTACTTTTATTTTACTAGAAAAAGAATTATATTTGTTCGCACACAGTTGTACACATACATATATGGTAGAGAGAATACAGAGAAGAAAGAAAAAAAACCGATAACGACAAATCAAAAGAGGAAGAGAGAAATTCCATCAAGGGTTGCGATGGTGCGATATCACTGCTAACATAAATCTATGAAACTTTAGATATGACCTTTGGTTTTTAGATTTATTCAAAATATACCATAATAATTATGAGTGTAGATGAAGAGGGTATCGATCTCCACATTCATTCACAAAACTTCCTCAATCGTCATATGACTCCGTAAAATATAATTTCTTAAAATTATCCATGTACGACACGTTTATAGCAATTTTCAATAGCTGTTCAAGAGTTCAATTCAAAAACAAGCCATCTACAATGTCGGCAACTAAGCTTTGGAAAACTCATTATATTCAATTGCCACTTTTCTCTAATTTAGCAAAAGAATACTTTGCTGCATATCAAACTAACGTATTGAGTGAATCAGCATTTTTTGCATTTATCGTTTTACGCTTTTTAAAACACAAAATGGGTTTCGAACTAAGTTGAGCTATTTTTTTTGATTACTCTATATACTTATTTGTACGTTTCTTCTCAGCGAATAAATGATAATGCACATTCAAATTTATTCACTTACTATATTGTTTTATTTCTCATATTTTATTGTCTCCATGTACTATTCAATTTTTTGCTTTTATTGTATTACAAACCAAGGATTAGTTGTAATAACTGAATTCACAATTTATATGCGTTATAAGCAAGCTTTTTGTTTAATATCTCTCGATTACTTGAATATTTCTTATCTAACTGAATTGAGAATCACGCTTCTTCATTCGAGTTCTGTCTTACTTCATGATGCATCTTAATTGAAAATTAATTGACAAGATAGTTAGTAAACCCCTCCCCATATTAGAAGCCCCCGGGGGGCTTCTAATATGTCTATCATATGAAGCTTCTGGAGGGGGCTTCTATTAAGTCTCAAAAAAATTTCGTAAACTGCCAGGAAAAAGGGTTCGCAAGGGTTTTTAGCGACTTTCAAGGTTTTTATGAGTTTTCCAGAAGATTTTTGACATTATTTTCAGATGTTAGCTAAGCTTGATAAGAGTCAGCCAACTTTTTACCTGAAAATCGAAAAATTTTAGCAGTTTTAGCATGAAAAGGCGAAAAAAAATCTTGAAAATTTTAAAATTTTTTCGAAAAATTAGGGGGCTTCTAATACGTCAAACATGTTGTTCATCTCCGAGGGGGCTTCTAATAAGGGGAGGCTTCTAATATGGGAGGGGCTTCTATTATGGGGAGGGGTTTAAGAACAAAGACTCAATTGTATGAGTTAAAGGTTTTACTGAAAGCTGAACTCATTGATATATGCATTCACAAAACTTTTCAACTCAATCAGCCACATCAATCGTGAAGTACTCAGACCACGCTTCTTTGAATTTTTGGGGTCTTTCATCTTTAGACATCTCAGAAAAGAATGTACTAAAAGTCGAAGCTTCCTTAGTTTTGAAAACGATTTACATCACATAGCATAACACACTTGCCTCTATCACAGCTACGTTTTCACCCATAGGATGTATCCTTATTCGCAATGATTACGCATATTCTGCTGCAACTATGTTAGCGTTACTGTGTTTGCTTTATTACTACACTTCTTTATTTCTATATATGTACTATTGTATTTATCGTTTATCTTGAATATCTCCATACTTGTAGGCTATTATCTGTGTACTTACCGCATATATATTCCACTATCCGGATATCTTAATACTGATCTGCGTATTCTGATTTTTATCTTCCTTTGCAGGTCTTTTTATGTTTGTCTGTTTCTTTTTTTCTATTCATAGCAACATTTATATGTCAGAAGGTGTATATTTGGTTGTATCTCGAATACCTAGTGATCATTAACCGGCATTCGTTGATTGCTTTTGTTATTATCCGATGTATAATTTGTCATACAATGAGATATTTTGTTTGAATGTGCCCTTGAAAGTCATTTACTCTCTAAAACAAAGAAGAGATTTGAATCTTGAACATATGGATCGGTCTGTTTTCCACCCAGAACTACACTTACACACCCATACTATTCTTCTTGTTAAATAAATCTGCCGTGATGTGACAACAATTATATAAAGTTTCTATTTTATTAAAAGTTAGTCATTACGTCTCACTAAAAGAAACTATAGTTCTCTCACGATATCGAAGCTATCACGCCGTAAAGCAAGCCTTTCTCGAAACCATTCAAAAATCCTTTGCCAATTTGATTAATATTTTCTTATGGAGACTCGATGAGCTCTATACAACCGTATACAAGTAAACGAAAAAAATTTTGCTGAAATTTTGACTGCCGAAAACTTAAACATGACTTCTTTCGTGTATCTATAAAGGATTTAGATGGGTGGGAGTGACTTAAGTGTTAATGTTCTTTTTATTTACACCCACATTATCAGACTCTGATTTATATTGATTTTGACTTTCGTTTCTCATAGGTTCACACTGTAATAATTAGTCAAGTCTGAGCAGCATAGATATGTAATTCTATTAAAAATTCAATAGAAAGTGGCATATTCAACAAGAACTTTGATTGATTGTGAATTTTTGCACTCTCGATTTGTCTTTGTCAATAACATAGAGATTGTCAATATCGATCAAATGACAATCCCCTAAGATAAGTCAACTTTTTTGCTGGATCTCTGGTACTATTTCCATCAACAACAATTCCTTGTGTGACTCCTTTCTGCCAACGCATTATCCGATGATTTCTACATTCTGCGATATCGACAGTGCCCAACTGATCGACAACAATGCCACAAGAATCGTCCATATGTGTTAGATCAGTTCCTCGACTTTGATCGTCTGCCACGACAATGCCTTCTATTGCATCCTCCTTCCAGCATTTTACACGATTATTTGTGCGATTCGAGACATGTACTGAATAATTTTGGTTGACGGACACGTACACAGGTTTATTGAGTTGCTTGAGGCCACTACCTTTACCATTATCGCCTGCCACAATTTTGCCTTGAGCATCTTCTATTTGCCATTGTTTGACGTTATTTCCTTCCTCATCAGATACGTAGAGATATCCACGGTCATCCTTCGTCAAGCCCCAACAACTAACGTTCGAAATAATTGTTTCGCCAAGTGTACCACCACGACGTGGCCACCGCACAATTCATCTATTCCCTGAGTCACAGATAAAGAGACAATCAGTCTCTTCATCAACAATCACATCTGTTGGCCTATTTAATTGGTTCATACGACTTCCTTTTCCATTTCCACCAGCAACTACCTGGTCACTACTTGAATCACACTTTCATTCCACAACCCAATGATTGTTATAGTCAGTAACATAGCTATTTTGATCAAGATCAACATACTAACCAAATGGATTACAGAGCTGATTCAATCGATTGCCTACTCTTGGACCTCCAGCTACTGTAATGCCATTGAGTGCCCATCTGCTATTTAGATTAAACTGAGTTTCAGCTCCGCGAAGTGGTGCTGCAACAAAACAAAAAAATCAATAAAAGTGCTGTACAATGAAGAAGATTGTCATTTCATAACTAAAGAACAAAGCTGTATCCACACTTAGTCATCTTATCGAATGCTTTTAGTTTCTATCTCATACGTGATAGTCAAAATAAATTCTTGGAATGCCTTAGCAAGAAGAATATGAACCCAACGAGATATCCGCACCTAAATAATAGTGATGTAACCAGAGTAAAATTGGGAATGTCGGAAATTTTCAATTACAGACTCAAATCAGCCTGGGGAGGGAGAGGGTAAATTCATCTTTCCATAGGATTGAAGCTTTTCTAGAGGGCGAGCTAAGCTACCCAGCCTTGTTTCTTCTGGTTCTGTCACTGCTAGATAAGTTTTTACTACGAAGGAAAGTTGATGAACCCAAAAGTCCTCGTCCGCAAGGCGAAATGCTCAAACAAAGTCGTGGTCGGTGAAAAGAGCTGATGAAAAGTGTTCTTTTCAAAATGTCTCTATTATTTGCTCTGTGGTGGTATTGATTCTCTTTGCTAGGCAACTAGTTGGCATGAAGGTGTTTTTAAGTCAGTTCATTTATTCTTCTAAGTTGATTTTGGGAGCAGTCATCCTATTCCGTAATGTTGAACATTGCGAAATCAGTTCCATCCAATTCCGAGAATTCGGTCGTCATTCAATATAACAGACCTACTAGTCACTGACCGAGTTCCGTCAATTCCCGGAACTTAGTCCAGACGGAATTACTCCGAATTCCCAGCAATTCCAGAACTGGACGGAATTACTTACTTATCCCAGAGAATAATCTTCAGTCACAACAGTATGCG